AAATCCTAAAGCTCAGGATTCCCCAAGAACTTCCCTTGCCTCCCCACTTTTTGGACCAAAACACACACTCTGAGTTAGGGATAGCACAGAGAGACCCTTGGTCAAATCAGCAAAACCAAGATCCCCAGAACGAGGGCAGTACCAGCCACTTCCTGTCTCAAAGCAGCCCAGGGCTACAAGGAGAGCTCAGTGTGTGCTGACCAAGCTGGCAGCAACTGGCTCTGCGAGGTCCTGTCTTACTGTGTCTGAGCAGGTGTCATTACCAGAGGAGCAGGTCTGTCCTCCTCCTCCTCCACCTCCTCTCCCTACTGTCCTGGTCACTGTCCTCCTTTACACCTCTAGGCTGCCTGGAAGGTGTTCCACACCCAACTGGGGATTAAACCTAGAGCCTCCTGCCTGCAGACAAGTGCTCTACACTGAGCCACATTCTTAGCTTACATCTGTCTGTCTGTCTGTCTGTCTAGCTATCAGACTATCTATCTATCTATCTATCTATCTATCTATCTATCTATCTATCTATGAGATAGGCTCTCGAACAGCACAAGCTCATCGACAAGGAAGAATGGCAAGCCTGCTTAGCATAGAAAACAAGTTTCATCCTGCCAGGCTCCAGAAATCATCAAAATCAGAGTTAGTCAGCAGCCAGGTGGCCTGCCATGGTCAGGAGAGTTCTCCAGCCACTGCCATGCCTTCCTTTCTCCCGGCACAGTGGCAGGTCCACACTTTGAAGAATTTTAGAAATGAATCTCACAGGTACTCCCATTTCAATTATAATATCTCTGAGTGCAAGTTGATGGGGACCATATATCTCAGGCCAATGAGTGTAAATTTCAAGTGCAGCTGTGACAGATGTGGCACCTTTGTGAGAGGTGTAAGGCCATGTGCATATCAAGGGAAGATTGCAGAAGAGGGTGATGCAAATCAGAGGAACTTTCTTCTCCATCTCAGTTAAGTGGATTCCCTGACTGTTGTCCGCGGACTCCAGGTCACTGCAACCTTCAATCGGCATTGAAAATTTAATAAACTAGGCAAGGCAGCACAGGCCTATAATCCAAGCTACTCGAGAAACTGATGCAGGAGGATTCAGAGCTCATAACCCTGCTAAGCATCTTAGTGAGGCCCTGCCTCAAAATATTTTTTTAAACACTATAATTCTTTGGCAGTTTAAAAGTCTTAATTTTTATATTTTGCATGCATATGAGTGTAGCCTGGGTGTAAGTATGTCAGCTTCAATTTTTAAGTTTTTTTTTAAAAAGCGATAAAGAGAGAAGGGGACAGACAGACAGAAAGAAAAGAGCTGGATAGATGGTGCACTGGTTAAGAGAGCTCTGGCTGGTCTTGCGGAAGACCTGGTGTGGTTGCCAGCACCCACATGGGGCAGCTCACCACCTTCTGTAGCTGCTGCTCCAGGGGATCTGACGCCCTCTTGTGGCACTAAGTGTGTATGTGCTATACATATACACATGCAGACAAATGCTCATACACATTTTATTAAAAAAAAGAAAAGAGGCTGAGACAGCTGGACATGTTGGCCCATGTCTGTAATGCTGGGATTTGGTAGAGGTAGGAAGGTCAGGAGATCACGTTTATTGTATTAGTCAGTGTACTCGGGAGTAGCAGAACTTACAGAATGATTCTCTCTTTCTATGTATACA